CTGAGGTACAGGATCTCAGGATAAATCCTGAGGGGATTTCACTGACCTTATCAGATCCAAAAGGTACAACTCTTGTTGCATAGGTCTTGCTTTATGTTGGTCTTAACCATGCAGCAGAAAAGTATAAAAATGAAGTATAAGAAGTAAAGCCATGCTTTTATGTTGAGCTGTAGGGGACTCAGGTCAATAATTTTTGACATTGCCAGTGAAGAGGAAGACACAATACTATTATGGATTAATGGACTCTTTTAGAATATTTTGCTGAGCTAACACACCTATAATATTCAAATAACAGAACTAAACAAAAAAGGGGATACATATGAATGTCCATTTTGTATCTGTGTATTCAAAATGGTTAGGATAGATATATAGTTACATTCTCTGAATCAACAGAGTGATTTGTTCCAATTGAGTTTGTAAATAGGATATCATATCTGCATCTTGTACAGCAAATAACCACTAGGAAGAATGTATGCAATGTGTTAATTATTGAAACTGTCCTACCAATTTGGTTTGAAACGGTCTCATCGCTGTTTATCAATAAAATTATGGAAAAAAATATATGGGGGAAATACATATGTATGTATATAGTGGGGACACGAATATAATCAAAATATATACAATGAACACCCTCCATGGGAAAATTGCGTGGTACAGCATGGGAGATGATGGAGGATGAAATGAATAAAGTATAGTATGTGCACGTACAAATCTACCAAAATGAAAACCACTAATCTACATAACCAATAAAGAATGAGAATTAAAAATTAAGTATCAGAAGAAGGAGAAAGACAAAGAAGAGGAGGAGGAGGAGAAGTAGCAGCAGAAGCAAGACCAAGCTTTCTCTTTAATCCTACTCCAATCCGTGTACTGTAGATTGAACCCAGGACCTAACCCATGTCAGACAAGCACTCTACCACTGAGCTATGTATTCTCAAACCTTTTTATTTTGAGTCTGGGTCTCACTAAGTTGCCAAGGCTAGCTGTGAACTGATGATCCTCTTACCTTAGCCCCTCAAGTATCTGGAATTACAGGTGTGTACCATCACATCTGGCCAGTTAACATCTTTATTAAAACCATTATCAAATTATCAGTGTATACCCACCAGATTGGCAAAACTTAAGACATGAAATACCATTAAGTGTTGTGAAAGATGTAGAACAACAAAACCTTCCTTATGCTACTGTAGCAAATCTAAATTATTATAAGCACTCAGGAAAGTAAAGATTAATATAGTATACTAGATTGCTCATAATCACAGCATTGTTCTTAATAGTCCCAAAAGTAGAAATTTTCAAATATCTACTTGTAGGAGAATAAATGATCACACCGTGATATGTTTTTTAAATGAATTATATACAGCATTAGAAATGATGATTCCTACAGAAACAACATGAAATTGTTTGAAATAGAATAGTGAAAGGCACACAAAAGAAAACAGTCAATGTGACTCCACATAGAACTGAAAATTGGGAAAACTACGTGCTCAGAAATGCACACAAAAATGACAAAGTTTGAGGAACAGTAAAGGAATAACCATCATAAGAGAACAAGGAATTGAGTGTTTCTGACAGACATGTTGGGCATAGGCACTCTTTTCTATTTTGACATTGGTAGTAGTTACATGTAAAAGAATGTAACTTCTTTTTACATTTTATTTTTTATTTTATGTGCAATGATCTTAAACATATAATGTAGCTTTGCTTTATGAACTTTTCTGTATACTATGATTAATAACTTTTGAAAAGGTTTAAAATTATTGGTCAGGGGAAACATAGGTTAAGGTTGAAGAAACATGGCTCTATAAACTATGAGACCCTTCAGTTTGGTTTAGTTTTTGGTTTTTGTTTTATTTTTGGTACTGGGGATCAAACTCAGGTCCTTCCTCTTGCCAGGCAGGCGCTTAAGCCACTGAGTTATCTCTCTAGCCCTTGGTTTAGTTTTGGATAAAATAATTTGTAATTGTCAGATAATAATAAAAATTTGTATTGTCAGATGAACAAAAACATGATGAACTAATAGAGACAGAAAGCAGCAAACAAGAAAGAATAAAAAATAAGTAGTGTTAAAGTCAGGAGAGGAGAGAAGATAAAGGAAAATGAAACTGTCAACGACTTAGGACAGAGGTCCTCAACCCCTGACTGTGACTTGTTAGGAATTGGGCTACAGAGTAGGAGGTGAGGGGTGAGTGAGTTGGCAATGCTTCACGTTTTCACAGCAGCTCTCTCCATCACTAGCATTACTACCTGAGTCCCACCTCCTCTCAATCAATGGTGGCATGAGACTCTGAAACAGCAGAAAAGACTGGGGACTGCTGATGTAAGTGATAGACTCACAAAGGGTTAATACTGAAAAAAAAATTGAAATAATCTAGTCATTAAGATGCTAGTAACCTCTTCATGAATAGCCAAATGCCTTTAACATGTTCCTAAATTTCATCATCTCGTATCTATTAAAATAGCTATTATCCAAGCAATGAAAGACAGTTGTTGGGGGGGACATGGAGAAAAGGAAATCTTTGTACAATGCTGGTGGGTACATAAATTATTACGGCCATGATGGAAGTTATTATGAAAACCTCAAAACATTAAAAACATATTTGACATATGTTCCATCAATTCCACTACTGATTATATTTATTTAAAAAGGTTAGTATTTTGAAGAAATGTCTGTAGTATTATTCACAATAGACAAGATATGGAACAAACCTAAGTGTCCATGCTAAGTTGATAAAGAAAATGTATTATGAGAAACAAACAAAAAAATGTGTTATGTATACACCACGAAATAGTATTCAACCTTAAAAAAAAAATCCTGTCATTTATGACTTGGAAAACCTGTTAGATGAATTATGATTGATTGATTTGAGGTTTTTAAAAAAATATTTGTATACTTTATAGGCAATATTATCAAAATAACAAACTTACTAATTCATAATATGATTACTTTTGATGAAGATCAAATGATAAGGATACAAAATAGAAAATCTAGAAATTAACTGAAATTTGAAATGGAAATTTAGAGAAAAAAGGAAATTCCAGGTGGGAAAAAAAACTGTACTAAGTGTGATTCAAACCTCTCCTTGGGAGGGAAAAATGTATTGTGGTTTGGATAAAAAATATAATTAAAAATTTCAAAACAAACAACAATAAAGATATCTGTAAAACTTTTGAACGTCAGGGAAATTTAAAACTTTTGTGCTTTAAAGGACAATCAATATCAAAAAAGAAAAAGATAAACTGAATGGGAGAAAACATTCTTAAATAAAAGAGTAAGGGGCTGATATCAAGAAAACAGCAGCAACAAAAACCGTACAACTTACCACCAACTAAACACACTGACTCAAAAATAGGAAAAGAACATAGTCATTTCTCCAAAGAAAATATATGAATGTCAAGTAAATTTTGTAACCATCAGAAAAATGCAAATAAAAACCACAATGAGATACCATTTCATATCCATTTAGAAAAAAATTATTTTATAAAAAGCCCCAGAAATTTAGCAAATGTAAGTAAGACTATGAAGAAAATGGAACTTTTGTGCACTATTGACAGAACTAAAAGTGGCGTAGCTACTGTATAAATTACTATGACAATTAAATAAAAAATTAAATGAATTGCTGCATAATCTAGGTGCTATAAATACTGAAAAGAAATGAATGCAGGTATTGTACACTCATGTTCTTAGCGGCATCGTTCCCAATAGCCCAAAAGTGGAAGCAAAAAATGAAGATAATCAAAATGTAGCAGTCACAGTGGAATAATATTCAGCCCTAAAAATAGGATATTCAGCTATACATTAACATGAATAAACCTGAAGGACGTTATACCTAAATGAAACGTGGACATTATGCCTGTCATAAAAGCACAAATACTATATGATTCCACTTCTACAAGGTACCCAGAATATTCAAATATAGACATAAAAAGTAAAACGATTAGTGGCAGGGGCAAGAGAGGAGCCAGGCAGGGAAGAAGAGAAAATGGGAAGTTAGTTTAATGGATATAGAGTTTCAGTTATGAAAGACGAAAGAATTTTGGAGATGTATGACAGTTTATACAACAGTGTGAATGTACTTGATGTCACAGAATTGTACACTGTAAAATAGTAAATTTTATGTTGTATATATTTTACAATAATAACAAAATGGACCTGGAAATAAAAGCAGAACTATAGTCATAAGGATGAAGACACAAGTAAGCCACTGCTCACAGGCACAGGAAAGGGAGAACTATATGGTATTTAGAGGCACTTTATTCTGTTTGCTTAGTACCTGGATTTCAAGCTCTGCAATGTGTTGCTGTAGTTCGGCCACAGCAGCTATGCTATCTGCTTCTCGGAGTCTCACAGCCATTACTTCTTCCTTGTTCTAGGGTGACAAGCAAAACAAGATAATAAACTAGGTATGTTTTTGAACTGAGATTTTTCCAGATTACAAAAGTAAAAGTGTGCTAGCATTGGCAGCACACATACTAAAATCAGAAAAATAAAGTAAAATTAATAAGGTGCATTAACCCTAAGTTAATCCAGCAGCATTTATAATGAAATAGTGAAGTAAAAATATCTGTACCAAGTTATAAAAGCAAATTATAGATGGCTACAGTCAATTGAATCAGATTTTACCTCCAAATTAAATTGTTTAAAATTTATAAAGAAACTTTGGGATTCTTAAAGTCTTTTGGATTTTGAAACTGGAAATCATAAACTTAAACTATTTATCTTTAATTGAAAATATTAAAATTCAATTGTAGCAAAAAAAAAAAGCTAATACTATAAACAGTGTCTGGATATTTCCAGACATTCTGCATAAGTGAAAAGTAAAATGAGCTTTAATAATTACCAACAATTATAAACTATAATTATACAAAGTTACACAAAAATAGATGAAATTTATATAATTCAAGGACTGGCTTCCTTTAAAAAGTGAGATTTATTCCTATGTTCCAACATAATAAGGTAAAATGTACATATTTATTCAAAAAGTGTTAGGTCTTATGATTACAGTACACAGTATTATTAAAATCTGCAGAAGTACTACAAATAATGAAATAAATCAATATACAGAATAACATGGGAAAATGAGATAGCCTCTGTACCACACTTAATTAAGGTATTAATCCTATGTCCATTCTTAAAATTTTCTAATATTGTGAATCTGTACCTATTTGGATAAATTCAGAGGGAAAAATTATTTTCAATCACAAGTTCCACAAATATTTATTTCCCAAAACATTTTACTTTGTTAACAGATCTTAAGACACTTAGGAGCAATATTAAATACTAGCATGTTACCAAGTGTTTAAAGAAAACTTACATCAATAATGAAAAAAGATTAAATTTAGTTATCTATTAAAAGTAAGTCAGCATTGGAAATTTAGCATAATAAAAACTCAGTATGACAAATCAGATTAACACATCATTTTATTTTTAAATTAGTCAAATCATTCAAAATGGACTATGCTTTTATTAGTACAAATTTTAGTACTGCCTACAGATTTCTGTCAGCATAAACTGTAACAGCCATGCATATTTATTAGGATGTAATTTCATCTGTGGATTTTGGTGACACTGATGAAGCACTCAAGCTTCACTCTTGGTTTTTAATGACATCCGAACAAGTTGATGGAATTACAGTGTTGTATGTGCCACTGAAAGTCTTTATTTCTCATAGAATAATATGGCTAGCATATGTAGTTAAAGGGCATCATTTCTACTATGAGGTGGATGCTGATTTTATTTTAAAATCTTATGATTTTAAGAACCCATTTTAATGTTTATACTATACTCATCTCGTTAGTTATTGGACACACACACACACACACACACACACACACCCTCTCCTCCACTTTATCCCCCAGTTCCTCTCTCTGATCACTGCTAGATGATGATAAATGTCAAGAAAAAAATGTCCTTGACTGCAAACACTTTTGACTTCTGATACTTTCTGAATTAAGTGCTTACACACACACACACACACACACACACAAATACACAAAAACTGACAAAAAGAATAAAGAAAAATGCATTCATTTTTCCTGACCCATTGATAGGATACATAAACAATTCTTCCATTTTCTACTCCATCCAGAAAACACTTGTCAGTATTTACCGCTCACTAGTAACATACCAGTCAAATCAAGGGAGCCCTATCTTCTCTAAATTACCTGGGTTTTTTTGGTTGCATCATTAAAGCTTTGGTTTTTAATTCAAAAGAAACATTGCAAAAGGTCACGAAAACACACACACACACACACACACACACACACAACCAATACAGAAAATTAAGATAACAAAGCATGCATTTAAAAATGAGATTTATAATACCTATCCACAAGGCAAGGTAAACTAGTCTGAAAGTAACTACCAGAACAAGTTAAATAAATGTGGGAAAAGTGTTTTATTTTGAAAGAGAATGTATGAAGCAGACCTATAAAAGTCATTATTACACTGAAAAAAACACAAACCAGCTATTTGATTATTTACCTTGCATTCAATCTCTGCTTGTTTGCGCTTTGCTTCACTTAATTGAGTAAGTAGTCCTTTATTCTGGGCAGAAAGATAGTGCACCTTTTCCTGTAGATTGACCACCTCCTGTTCGGCTCTTCGAAGATGATTACTATTGATTTGGTTCTAATAATCAGAAATACAAATATGTACACTATAGATAAAAAGACTAAAAGATTTCTACAATACCATAAAAATGTTATTAGTTACAAAATTATCATATTCAACAATTAAACACTGAAAAAAATAAGATATAAAGCTGCTTTAATAATCTAATCCTCCAAAGGAATACATGTGACTAATATCAGAAACTCATAAGCCAATGTATCACTTACAAAAATTATCTGTAAGCAGTAAAGATGTTTACATACAACTTACAGATAACCATTTCTAAAGAAGACAATGGATTCAAAGTGAGTAGAGAAATGAATTTAATTGCTCTCCAGTTTTTTTTTTTTTGTTGTTTTTTGGGTTTTTTTTTTTTTTTTTTGCCAGCTCAGCCTGCCCCAGGGGCAGGGTGGGCATGGTATGGGGATCGGATGTGGGGTTCCCTGTGCCTGCCTAACATTTCCTAAGCAGGTGCTTTAGATCACAGAGTTAATTCGTCAGTCCCCAGTTTAAAAACAAACAAACAAACAAACAAACACAACCATTAATTGATCATAAGTGAGCACTACTAACTGGACCATAAAGTCTTTCGTGACACAAAATATGTTGTGTATATTTGTACATTCCTCCACTATCGTAGTCTTCTTTAATGAAACACAAACTGGTTCTGAATTTTGACTTTGTTATTTAGCAGTCATGGTAGTCAATATCTCAGATCTTCTATTTCCTCACTTGACAAATGTCTACAGAGATACTTCCTATTTCTCATCTGGCAATATTAGCTCAGTGTCTAAAGCACCTGCTTAGGCAAGCACAGGGACTTCACACTGTACCGGCCCTGCCCCAGGGCAGGCTGAGCCACACACACACACACAAAAAGCCCAGTATACAGTAAGAATTCAATAAATGCTAAGTGCTTACTGTACTATAATTACATGATATGCTAAAAAATATTGATCTTCCATAGAGTAACGAGGTATATTTCCCATTCAGGTCTGACCCAGTTTGAATACCCTCAAACCCAAATCATTCTGTAGTGGACTGATAGAATAGGAACTTGAACAACTACAAACAAAGGTGAGAGTTCTTCAATCTTGACCAAGTTACTGAATTCCAACAAACTTCAGTACATTAGACAAGATACAGATTTTGTTACTTGCCTTCTGAAGCTGTATTGCAAAGATTATATGAGTAAACTATATGACATTTCATTATAAAAACAAGTAGGCCGAGACCCAGTCCTAGCCCAGGTCCAGTGAGTGTGTGGAGAGCTTCCTCCTACCCTGCGCCGGCGGGACCAGTCCCAGCCCAGGCTTAGCGTGGGCCGGACCCTCTCCCA